CCCACTATTGAATCTTTCAAGCAGAGACTCGATGAAACCTTGGCACACCTTACATTCGTAAACCACTAAAAGTAAACGCAAGTTCACTGTAGCCTACATTCCCTTTTATCTCCTACCCGGAACTCTATGTGACTCTTTTTTCGGCGTGTAACAATTCATCTGTATATCCTATGAGGACAAGAGAAGCACCAGCTTGTAAGTTATTCCCTCAATAAAATCTTGACTTTTACTTTTACTATAAGCATTACAGATACACACACAACCCGGAACAAAAACGTCTGGCTCTGTACGCCAACTCTAATCTAATCTACGGAGCCACCTACGTGGGCAGAACAGAAAGAACTACGCAATCAGGTGGTGGAACATATTCCAAATTTGTCCGAGGCCAGATGAACCAATCGAAGCGAAGTTTGCTACATGGAAAAGAAGGTCCAAACTACAAGACGCCGTTCTCAGCCATTGCTCGACCTATGCTGATGACGTAACACCAGATCGACAGAAGCAAATCGTTTCTGATTGTCTGCAAGTCACGAGTCGCAAGATTGCTAAGGTTTGCTTAAGCGATTGCTATTGATTGATGGAGGCCCCCTCTCTGTGTCAGCAAAAGGAAATTTATGTTAGTCTATCCCTACCCTGGTATATGGTCTTTTTACTCCTCTCTTTTTTTATGTTTTCTCCGTATTAAAGTATTTTCCTTTACTTTGTTGCCATGCTAAAGCCCTACATAAACATTGTATTTTCCGCAGTATGCACCACGATGAGGTGCAGCATAATCGTCCTGGACATAAATCGTGCAGTATTGCAATACGGCCTTTTCTCTTAAACTATAGATGCTTTAGATCGGAATGAACAGCGTCCGTATAGATGTAAACTTAGCGACCAAACAACAAACATCAACACAGCAAACAACATGGAATTTCCGATGTACTCACCTCACACAGTTGACCATTTTTGATGTATTCCACTCCGATTGCTCGATTTTTATCGAACAGAACACGAGTGACCAGGGCTCCCGTGGTCAAGCACAAATTCTGTCTGGTTTTCAACGCGGGATGAAGATAAGCGTCCGCGGTGGACCAACGCTTGCCGTTTTTTACAGTCATATCAAAATAGCCCACCCCCTCCTGTGTGAAACGCGAACGGAGTGGAAAAACGCAGTGGCTTGTTACACTCAAACAAAAGTTCACTCAGTTTAGGTCGAATTTTCAAAACAAGTAAAACAATTGCATATAAACGTGGTCTTGTTCATACCCTATACCACAGAGCCCGTCGAATTGGCACTGACCACACGATATCCGAGGAGATCAGTTTTTTGTGTAACACGTTATCAATAAATGGTTATCCCCGAGGCGTTTGTTGACAAACCAGATAGATTTATAAGTGAAAAGCCCGTTGTTGCGTCAGCGTCTGGACTGGAGATAACGATTTGTCTTCCATTCAATGATGATGATATAACTAATCTAACTAATCTATATAACTAATCTCATTCATCAACGGTTACGATCTTTTGTCAACCGGACTTATTACTCAGCCAAACCCAGAATTGTGCTCAGGACAAGGAGTATACCCGTTCCCCCGGTTAATGAACGCCCACCTCTGTACGCAAAATCAAACGTAATCTATCAACTCCAACGGATGGTTGCCATGGTAAAACCCACCAAGCCGGTAACTGGTATGAATCGTACTTACAAACCACCGAGATCATCGATTGCCAAGCCCTTGTTGATGACGCAACCCCTCGTGGAGCGCGAGAAAGCATTTCCAATGATTTTTACTAATGATAAAACCATAGCACTCACGGTCTCCGAGGCGATTGCAATCAAGCGATAGAAACCAATTCTGTGTCAACGAAACGACTTGTTTACCACCTTGGCTTTGCCTTATTTACAAGTGTTTATTTTGTAATCCATTCCTAATCCTATATAACCATTGTATTTGTCTGCAGAAGGCACCAGTTGAGATGCAGCAAAATCCTCCGGGACACAAATCGTGCAATGTTTCTATACCGGCTTCTCTTTTCAGAGTAAAACAGTGTAAGATATCACTGACGTAACAGCTGTATCGTATCACATGATGAAGGAAAGTATGCCGGATCCATTCGCTCGAAATTTCAATCCAAACACAACCCTTCTGAGGATCAATCACACGGCTTGCTAAAAGTTTCCACTCGATCATTCTATATCTGTTCAAACCAAATTAAGCTAATTGTATACGTTCATAAAATGCTATACTCGAGCAACCTCTCCGTATGTGCGTGTTTTAGTCAAATAATCAATAGGCTGATATTAAATACAAGTCGAAGATTACTGCGTAAACAGTGCANTGGTGTTGTTCCTTTGGTATGAAATCCAGTGTTTTGGCTTTCAAGATTTTTCAGTAGCAGCCTCTACAGGAAACTGAACCTTGCATCTGCTACCAAACCACCTCAGCATAGCTGCATAAACTAGATTATGTCAGATTAAGGGTGAGTGAAACTCCTAATGCACAGATAAATAATGTCTACGCAAAGACAAACGCCTAATCTGCAGTGGGTAGACGAGTTCTGTTGGCTTCTTTTAAATGAAGTCCTTCCAACTTAAATGAATGTATAGATTCCTCGGAATGACAAAAGAGCTCATTCGGAGCCACCAGCAGTCTAATTGCAACCGTCCAATACGCATTGAACGTTACAAAATTGGGTAACCTTCTAGAAAAAGCAGTGATGCGGAAAACATTT